TGCACAGTTTCTGTCCTAAGAAAAACAGCACACGAAAGAGATTACATCTTTTCTACATCTACGTGTTTCATAAATTTTAGCTCTGTACCTACGGTGCCAATAAAGATTTGCTTTCAGAAACTGACCTCTGAAGACAGAGACTGCACCTGTCTCATTTGTCTTGTCTCCCACTTCTTACTTCATTATACACACAACTATTTCCAAAATATTGAAGTGTACCTTTCATGCATTTCAGCCTTCATTAGCTGTTCTTTCTTTTATTCCAAATAGGAACCTAGTAACAATAATAACAAAAATAATAATATAAAGTATTATTTAAAAATTAAAAGTCAGAAAAAGAGGATTACCAATAAGCATCAAATAAGATTTTGTTAAGCACCTCTTTGTGGTAAGAATTCTAACATGTTCTAAAATGTGCAAACATCTGTCTCAATAACAAGAAGTCACAGGAGTAGCAAAGAAATTGGCCATCAAATAAAATAATCATCAGAGATTGACTATTCTGATTTTATCACTGAAATTTTTAAGAAATATACTGGGTTCTCTGTTGTAGGCGTGGTATCTATCCAAGATAAATGGCTAGAACACCAGAAAGCTGATTAAACCAGGCTAAATTCTGAGACTTTTGTTACACTGTGAGTAGCTATTCATGAGAGTCTCCTTGTGCCTCTCATTCAAGCATGTTATCAGTCATGGCTCTCCTGCCTCAGAAGAATAACCTAATAGAAAAGCAGAATTAGTTCTAAGTCTTTTGGGTCAAAAGATTCTTAGGACTGGGAATTACTCAGTGGTGCCACACTTGCCTGGCAAGCACAAGGTCCTGAGCTCAATCCCCTGGATCCCAAAAGAAAAAAAAAGATTCTCAATGTACCTGTTCCAAATGGAAGACAACATAGTGTCAGAAAAATACTTGCGCTGGGCATGGTGGAGCACGCCTGTAATCCCAGTACTTGGGAGGCTGAGGCAGGAGGATTATTGTGAGTTCAGGACCAGCCTGGGCTACGTAGTGAATTCTAGGTCAGTCTCAACTACATAGTGAGATCCTGTCTCAAAAAACCAAAAAAAAATAAAAAAATAAAAAAAAATAAATAAATAAATAAAAAATTTTGCAAGAAGCAACAGAAAGAGCTGAAACTTCCACCAAAGGGATTCTCCAAAGCTGCGGGAAGTGAGAAATTAGGAGCCTGTGTGTGCTTTTCTATGCAGAGCAGACAGGAAGTAAGGAGATCCCAGGAGAGAAACATGTCTGCATGCAGCTTAAAACATGAGATCACACACACACAGTCACCAGATCCCCCAGAGATGTGGGTAGGTGACTGGAAGGCCAGATGCCACATCCTGAATTCTCAGCACTAGGCAAATTTGTACAACTATGACATAAATTCTAGACAGGTAGGGAGCCTTTCAAAAGACTAGAATTGAAGTTTCCTTTGGCTCTGAAGGAATAGGAGCTCAAAATGAGGCTTAGAATGAATTACAGGAAAACTTCCTCATCACTGGGCATGTTCTCCTAGCTAGGGAGGAAGATTAGTGAGTTCTTTTTTATGAACACAGAACCATAGATGGTTGCAACGTAGTTCTTGAAGCTTCCAAGAACCACTTTGCCTTCCATCTACTCACTTACTTTGGCATCTAATGTTTCTCCCCCGAGAGAGAAGGGAGGCAAGCCTACTTTTGCAGCTATTCTAACTGGATTTGGAAATACAACCTATTCTATTAAGACATTTTGAACCCCAAATCTTTTCCCAGCTTCTGGACCTTATTTCTTCCTCAAGATGTCGTTCTTGTTAAACAAACAGCAATCTTCCTTACACTGTCTTCTAAATGTATACCCCTCGCATACCTCCACGTAGGTGACACCCCTGGCCAGTACTTGCGGGCTATGAGTGGCACACACTTCTTGCCTTCCCTAATTCTGCTCTACTGTTCTATATCAGGAGTCAGACTGAAGCTTTGTGTGACTCAAACAGGCATGTCAGCTGGCAGAGTCGGGCTAGTATCGCTCCCTTGCTAATGCTGTCACTGAGGCCTAAGCCCTGGTCTGTAAAGTACCAGAATCCTGCTGAATTACGTGCAGCTCAGGTCAGTGCAGTCCCATTTAAAATCCTTTCCCCTGAATTATCACTTCTCACTGACCTCTGGATTGCTTGCTAATTGTGCCGGGTCCCAGTCCTGGTTTATTCTACCCTAACAAGATAAGCAGTGCCTACTCCCTAATAGCCCCGCCTAGTCCCATCATGTCAAGTGTTTCGCAGTAATTCACTAGATGACTTCAGAGATCCCTAGCTCCCTATTCCTTCTCACAACTTCATTGAACAAACGCTGGATGTGCTTGGGGGCTTTGGTTTTTGTTGCGTAGAGCAGCACTGATCAGGACCCAAGACTCAGTTTCACTGTAAGTGTTTCCTTCCTTCTATTCTTTAACCTTTAGCCAGTGCTGTGGTGACCGGCAGGGGGCTGGGTCTTACTGCAAGGGTCTCCAGCAACGTCCATTCCCCCTGATCCTTACACCTCCACACCTCTCAAACCATAGCACTACTTCTGTAATCTCAAATAGACAAGAAAAAAGTGTCTTTCACAGTGGCTTCTTCACAGACATTTTTGTGCAGCAGTAAGAAATCAAATCCTGTTTGTGACTCAACCATCTCACTGACTACTGCACACAATAATTCATCTCAGTCTCTTTCCTTTGTTTTAGAGTAATGATGGGTCAATACCTATTGCATAGTTTCACCACTAGTGGCTGGATCAATATCTTCACTTTTATCTTCTCTCTTTTATAATGGGATCTGATGCTTTCCTTTATCAATACCAAGCAAAGGCTGATGACGAATAATTTTATTTTAAACCACAACTAACAACCTATTTCAATTTTTTCCCACTTCCCCTTCTGAGCAAGTGCAAATCATGGCCTCTTGCCTGGATTATTGTCTGTTGGTGACATTTTCACAATAGAAAATATCCTGCTTTCTTAGCACATCATAGGTTCTAAATAAACTTGAATTAATCACAGTAGCCCTTGTTATGATCATAAAAACACCAATACAAGGATAAAGTTTTTGATCCAAGAAAGTAGGTTAGGAAATAAAACACCTCTGTGTGACCACAGGACAGGGAAAGGAGGGCTAGGTACTGTAGAAGTAAGTGGAAGAGTAATAAAGAAACATTGGAAAGCAAAGGGGAAGAGGGCTTAAAGGCAAAGAAAAAAGTTACAGGTATATAAGAAAAGTTGCACTCAAGAAAAGATTATGAGGGGATAAAGATCCCTTGCATATACATAAATGTAGAGCAAGAGAGTAAGGATGAAAGCAGAGGAAAGAAGGGGACCAGAAACTCAGAATGGTTTTAGTTGACTCATGAGTTTCAGAGAAAATTACTGTCTATTACTCTTGCCCTTTGAAATTCTAATAAGATTACTAATCATTCACAATGTTTTATTTTTGTGCAGTCTTAATTGAGTTCACATCAAAAGGCATAATAAAAGCTTCCCATCAGAGACATAATAATAGCTGCTCCATCAGAGAAAGAACATAAATGATTATTTTCTGACCATCAGAAGTGCCCAAACCAACGCCATCTCAAAGGCCAGATATTATAGCTGATAATTATATCTGTCAGTCAAATAGCTCCTCACCCTGTGTGTTAAATCTGTTGAACAAGTTCAACTCAAAGACTCCAGGAGTGTTAAAAAGATTAATGACCTTAGTATCTGTAAAGTTCTTTGAAGGTTAAAAAGTACAAGTACTATTTTTTTAAACCAGTGTTTAATTTGTGTAGCTAAAATATATTTTAGTGTTTCATTTAGACAAGTCTTTGTGAAAATAAGAAGCATGCATGGATTACATTGATTTATGTCCCTGTGCTGCTCCTGATTGCGAAAGTGATTTGTTTCATGACCTTGGAAAAATAGATGATGCAGGACAGCAGGGAGAGAGGAAGTAGAGCAAAGTAAAGGAAACAAAGCACCTGCTTTGAAATCAGCTGTTGTGGGAGCACAGCCAGGCACTGCCACACTGCAGTTTGTCTTTGCTTCTTCTTAAGGCAACTGGCAAGGAAGGACATTATATCTCCTTATTCAGTTGCCTTGCCACGTGGAGGCTGTGTTAGTCAGCTTTCTGTTACTATAACAAATACCTGAGACAGTCAATTTAAAAAGAGAAAAAAAACCACTTTATTTTGGTTCATTGTGCTGGAAGTTTTGATCTGTTGGTCCAGCACATTGTAGTGGGGGCATACGGTAGAACAGAACTGCTGTTCTTATGGATATAAAGCAAAAGAGAACTAAAGGAACAGACTGAGGTCTCATGTTCCCCTTCAAGGACGTGCCTTTAATGACTAGGATACACTTCTAAGAGTTCCTTCCTGGGGAGCAGGGCAGTAAGACATAGGCCAGTCAGGGGGGTTCTATATCTAAACTACAGCAGAAAATCATCAATCCTACCCCCTCAGGAATCTATTTCTAGATATAAATGGCCCCTAAGAGCCTCGTATGCTCGGGTACTCATAGGTGATTGGTTATGGGGGCTTACAGTTAACTTGCTGTTAAGAGGTGGGGTCTGATTGGAAGAGGTAGGTCATGAGGTTGTAGTTTGGAAGGATTTATCTCCCTGAATGGGTTCTCCCTTTTCTCTCTGCTTCCTGTCCACCGTGTGGTGAGCAGTTCTTCTCTTCCATGACTCTCTGCTGTGCTGTCCTGCCTTGGAGCCAGTGGAGTATGGGCTGAAATGTGAAACAGAATAAACCACTCCCTGCTTAAATTGTAGATTTCAGTTATTTTGTCCCAGGAAGAAGGGAAGTGACTAAGACACCTTTCCTGCCACCATGTCTGCTTTTACACCATAGGAGTATCGTTATCTGCTTTGCCTATATCAACCCACCCTGCTTCCTATACCTCTTGGCCAATAGCTGCATCCACACTGTCAGCTCCCTTGCATTCTTCTCCTCACTCTAATTCAAGATGGCCAACAAAGTTGTGATGAAAGCAATTGGTCATGTCTTACCTTTTGCCCACAGATACTCAGCTTTGCTTCTACAAAACCTACAAAAGAAGATAAAAGAAAATATAGGATAAAATTAAACAGAGCAGAAATATTGTAAAGTAAAATAAGATAACACCATTTTTATGGTCTTTGACTACAAGATAATAGTTTCAATTGGGCTCAGCTGGACTCTACACTTTGTCTCCATTCAGCTTAAGTTGGTATCCTCTGAGGTACCAGTTCCAAAGCTTTATCCTTCTCAAATCCTTTTTTTTTTTATCAATAAGCTTATCTCATATTTCATATAGGAAAGAGATAATCAGGACTTTCTCCAATTTCTCTTTGTTTCTCCTCTAATCACTTACATTTCAGTCTGGACTTTTTTTTTTAATAGGGGCATCATGGTAAAATTTTTGAAAGGTTCATTATGAGGGTGTATAACACCCACATTTATTTGTTTATTTTGATTTTATAAGTCTTAGTGTATTAAACAATGTATACTTAACAGGAAAATAAAATGTCAATTATATAAAATATTAAATTTTTGATATGTAATGAGTGTTCAGAATAAACATCAACATTTTCAATGTCAACTGTTTGCTTGCTTACAAAATCTAAAAAAAAAAACAAAACAGCAGAAATAAATTCCTGTGTGAACCATAATGAAAATACAAATAAAACATTACTACAGAAATAATCCTTACTTGAAGTATTGCACTTAAGACAGTCTTCACAGATGAAAATAACATGTTCCATACATAATATTGCTTACACTGATAGCATGTATGTTTTGCTTTCCATCTGTTTTTGCAGCTCATACTTGTCAGCTCTCTTATCTTCCTGTTTTGTCAGGAAGTTTCTATTATAAAATGTGCACTTAGGAAAATGAAATATCAGTAAAATAAAATATCAAACATGCACTTTACATATTGAGTAAACACCAATATTTTCTACCTCAACTGTTTGTTTGCTTACTAAATCTAAAGAAATTAAAAATACCACCAAATAAATTCTTAGGTGAACTACAATGAAATATGCAAATAAAGCTCTACCACCAAAGCAATCTTTACTTCAATTGTCACACGTAAGGCAGTTTTCACACACTCAAACAGCATATTCCCTACAAAAGTACCACTTATATTGATGCCACATGTGTTTTGTTTTCCTGTCTTTCTTGGTAGGACATACTTGATATCTTGCTGGTCTCTCTGTTTTCTTCAGAGGCTCTTGTGACGTTTCACCTGTCTGCTGGTCATGTGTTGTTTCACTGGTCTGCTCCAGAATTCTTTTGTGGGGTTCTTTGGGCAGATACATATTGTTGTTCCTCTGTGTAATTGATCATTTCTCAATTCCAGCCCCAATCCCCTAAGAAAATTTCTCTCTGTTATTTCGTGCTTGTTCTTTTCTTTGTAAACTATGAAGCTATTTATGCCTGACATGTTTAGGATTGAGTAAGAAACAACCATTGGCCAATACTTTGTGTTTTGAGTGACGTCATAGAGCTCATCAACATTATCTACTCCGCCTTTCATTTTGTTGTAAGATGTGATTACGTCTGACCTCATTTGTGTTGAAAATTCATTATCAATTTTTTCTTTTGTTTGAAACTCACTACGTAGCAGAAGCTGACCTTGAATTCACAGGATCCTTTTGCCTCACCCTCAGGAGTGACCCAGTACTAATATTGGTTTTGTTTTTTGTTTTTTGGTACCAAGTATCAAACTCGGGACCTTGTGCTTGTGAGGCAGGAAGTGGAATCTCTGAGCTAGATCCCCGGCCCGAGTTCGAATATTGGATCCCTCAGATATTCATGACCATTTTGTAGTACTTTGACTAGTCGAATATTTGTTTCCATTACTGTTTCCTTCCTTACCTGAATCAAAGTCTTCATTCCATTCTCCTCTGTCTCATGTCTTGTTCTGTTTCACTGTCACAACTTCTTCGGCTTACACGATCCATGTCATCCTTGGTAGCTGAATCACCCGATGACTCACTTTCAACTTCCACCCAAAGTTGTTAAAGTGGATTTTCATACATGTGCTAAGAAAAAAAATTTAAAGGTCGTAAAACAAATTATCAATGCACCAAAAAAGTAACATGGTGCGTATAACAATACCCTCCTCGTAGGTGTGTCATGAGGCGTCATTAAGTCATACACCTGAAACCATTACACTTTGACTAATTTCAGCAGAATATGAATCTATATCAAAAACCAGTAGAATTATTTATCTGTTACACACACACACACACACACACACACACACACACATGCATGTCCATGACAGAGGTTTTGTACTACCACAGCTTTTCTATAAATATCTCATCTACTTATCTGATTGGAACCCAGAGTTCTAAATCCTAATTTGAGAATGACACTAATACATAGAAGTGCTTTATTCAAGGTAAAGAACATGCATCAAACAGTAATTCTACTCTACTTCTCCTAGGAAATACAGGAAAGCAAGCATATTCTAGCAGAGCAATTTGGCATTTACAAAGAATAACTTTTTCTCATTATGAAATATGTCGGGGCTCACCTCATGGACTTCATGACCACTTCATTTACCGAGACAGTAAGTGCTGTCACTTTGGGGGGCTGTCACTTGTGGACAGGACACCAGACACCAACCTGCTGCTTAGATTCCAAAGGGAGGAGAATCCAAGGGTGTGTGACGCACTTCATTGTTTATACTGAGACAGTATCAAGTCCGGTCTGCAGCTATCAGTTCATTTTGTTGTCTGAGATCAAACACTCAGCCTTGGGCAAAACACTTGACCTTGAAACACCTGCCTTAATAATTGTCACTTTCCTTCTGCACTGGAAGAGAAACCACCAAGAGAGCTAAGAGACAACCTACAATGTGGGAAAAAATGTTTACCAGCTGTTCCTCGGACAAAGGTCTACTATCTAGAATATATAAAGAAATAAAAATATCAGGTCACCCAAGTATAAAGACCCAATTCAGAAATGGGCATCTGAAATAAATACATATTTCTCAGACAAACAATAAAAGAAGCAAATAAAGATATGAAAAAATGTTCAGGATCACTGGTCATTCGAGAGATGCAGATGAAAACAACACTGAGATTCCCTCACCCCAGAAATAATGGCTGCTATCAAGAAATCAACCAATAACAAATGCTGGCAGGGTTGTGAGCAGAAAGGAACCCTTCTCCATTGTTGGTGGGAGTGAAGACTGGTGCAACCACTGTGGAAATCACTATGGAGAGACTTTAAACAACCAGGATTGGAAGTCCCATTTGACCCAGCTATTGCCCTATTGGGTATTTTCCCAAAAGAATTAAAAGAATCACACCGTAGTAATATATGTTCACCCATGTTTATAGCAGCACAGTTTGTAAAAGCTACAATTTGGAAACAGCCCAATTGCCCATCAACTGGAGATTGAATAAAGAAGATGTGTGTGTGTTTTTTTTTAAATGAAATGGGATACTACTCGGCCATAAAGAAGGAGAAACTAGAGACATTTATAGCTAAGTAGATGCACATTGAGGCTATACTCTTGAGTGAAATAAATAAGACACACATATGTAAATACTGTACAGTTTCTCTGGTATAAAAAAACTGAAAGTGTAGATAAGGGTCAAAATGTATAATTGATATTTTGTAATAGGAGGAAAAGGTCTAAAGGTATAGGGCAAATAGGAGGGTCTGGGGAAAGGTAAAGGGGGAAGAGAAAAATAATAGAAAAGGAAAAAATAGAAACAAAGCATTTGTAAATAGGTCGTGGTGGAGGGGGGAAGGGAGGCTAGAGGAATGGAGAAAAAAATAAGTACCAAGATACATCATGTAAAGGTATAAGATCCCAAGGATGAAAGTAACTGCATTGTATATATAAAATGCACCAATAAAAAATATTTTTTAAAAAAGAATTGTCACTTTCACTTTAACAGCCAAAACCTTTTTGGCATTTGGGAAGAATGAGCCTGGGTCTATTCCCCGTGTCTATTTTTAGAGCAGAAAGAGAAATGGATGAAAAAAAAACCAAAATGGCTCAGCTGGGTCAGGATGTGGTTTCAGGATCATCTGCCCTGACAACATAATTCAAAAACACTCCTGGCCAGATCACTTCACTCATTCCCTCTGATCTGACCTGTGTGGGAGATGACCTCATCTCAGCTTCTGATTCTCATATAAGAGCTGCTTGTGGTCTGTGCTTCTCCTACTTCAACATCCAGGCTGCCTCCAGAGAGTAGCAGGAACAAGTCAGGAACAGTTTTAAAAGAAGTCTGAAATTTACAGGAAAAACTAGGATCAATGGAAGGTACTAAATGAACCAAAGGAAAAGTTGCAACTGGACTATATTGGAAGTGAGCTTTCAGCTCTCTTCAAATTCCATCTTTTTCCTGGGACAAATGCTTCTATCCATGATTAAATATTTGCTCTATTGCTTTAAAGTCCAATTACACAGCCCATAGAACATGCCACATCAATCCTGTAACTTCAGCTTCACTACAGCAGGACTCCTGACTTCTCCCCAGGCTCCCCATCTGCCTCTTCCTCAGGGTCCCCTTCCAGACCCCCCAATTTCCACATCTCCCATGTCCTGCTCTCCTGCTCACAACTAGTCAGGAAATATTAGGAAAATTAAATGTAGGACTCTAGAACCAGAATCCTTACTTAGATGGAGAGTGCTAATCAGTGTTTATTATTCATTTATTCAACAAATATTTACTGACTCTGTTTCAGGGACTGTTATCTGGGGGATTCATAATTGAAAAACACAGTCAAAAATCCTCTCTTACTACTAAATCCTCTCCTCTCTTCATCTTCTACTATCAGTGAGATGAGTAAACAGACAGAGTCAATATACACTGCCAGGTGATCATGAGTGCAAAAGAAAAACGCTGAGAAGTGAGAGAGGATTATTGTGGGGTGGTTGCAATTTAAGATACATAGATTGCCACATTGTAGATTGTCTCTTAGTTCTGTTGATGGTTTCTTTTGAAGCACAGAAGCTTTTTAGTAAGATGAGATCCCAGTTGTTGATTCTATCTGCTAGTTCCCGTGCTACTGAGGATTTGGTCATAAAGTCTTTTCCTATACCAGTGTTTTCCAGAGTTCTGCCTAACTTACCTTCCAGCAAGTTTAATGTTTCTGTTTTAATATTTAGATCTTTAATAGATTTGGATTTTAATTTAGTGCATGGCAAAAGGTAAGGGTCTAATTTTAATCTGTGGCAGGTTGACATCCAGTTTTTCCAAAACCATTTATTAAAGAGGCTATCTTTCCTCCACTGAGGATGGTTAGCTCCTTTGTCAAAGATGAGGTAGCTGAGTACATCTGCATTTGTTTTTGTTTCTTCCAGTCTGTTCCACTGATCCTCAGGCCTATTTCTTTGCCAGTACCATGCTGTTTTTATCACAGTGGCTTTGAAGTATAGTTTCAAATTGGGAATTGTTACACCTGGTGCCATGTTGTGGGGAGAAAGGAACCCTTCTCCATTGTTGGTGGGAGTGCAGACTAGTGCAACCACTATGGAAATCAATATGGAGATACCTCAAAGAGCTTGGACTGGAGGTTCCATTTGACCCAGCCATCCCTCTGCGGGGTATCTTTCCAAGAGAACTAAAAGAATCATATCACAGAGAAGTATGTGCACCCATGTTTTTAGCAGCACAGTTTGTAATAGCTAAATCTTGGAAACAGCCTATTTGCCCATCCGTTGGAAACTGGATAAAGAAGATGTGGTTTTTCTATAAAATGGAATATTACTCAGCCATAAAGAATGAGAAAATAGATTCATTCATAGGAAAATGGATACATATTGAAGATATATTCCTAAGTGAAATAAATAAGTCACACATGTGTAAATATCGAATAGTTTCCCTGGTGTAAATAATCTGCAACAATGCATAAGATTCTAATAAGATTACTGATGTTTAGAAATGGGAACAAAGGAGCTAAAGGTGTAGGGAAGGTGGGATGGGTAGGGGAAGAGTAAAAAGGGAAAAGAAAAAAATGTGAGAGAATACAAAGATGAAAATAAAGTGTTAGTAGATGGGGAGGGGAGGAGGGGGTGAAGGGAGGGCAGAGATAAGGGGAAAAAATGAGAATCAAGACTTGTCATGTAGAGGTACAAGATCCCAACAATGAATGTAACTATACTGTATCCCTAAAATGTACCAATAAACTCAATTAAAGCTGAAAAAAAAAAGATACATAGATTGCTCTGGAAAGACATCCTCTCAGGGTAACATTTGAGCTGAGATTTTAAGTGAGGCAGAAACAGAGACTACGTAGGGAAAGAGCATCCAGGAAAGAGATTGTTGAAGCACAAAGGTCCTATTATCTGGCTTCTTTAAGGAACAGGCAAGCAAACAGAATGAGAGCAGATAACTGAAGGAAATGAGGTCAAAGAGGTATGAAGGGCTAATTATGCAGGTCCTTGTTTGATGATTTTCTTAGTAATATGAGGACTAGTAAGGGATGCTAAGCAAGGAATTTTTATAATTTGACATACATGCATAGTATGACTGAAAAATAAGGTGAACATTTAATTTTTAAATGTATTACAGTAAGACAGATTACCATTAATATCCCTCAGCCTATTCCCCCACTTCAAACACACTTATCCATCATTCTTGCCACTTTCTGAAGTAGCTGGAGAAGTCCACTTCTGTGATTTTAATTGCCTGGTTGTGGCTGCCTTGATGTTTTGAATTTTGAGTCATCAAAATGTTTACCTTTCATGCTTATTTTGACTTTGGAGAAAAGCCAGAAGTTACACAGTGCCAGGCTGGTGAATAAGGTAGAAGAGGACACACTATAATTTTTTGTTTACTACTACATATGTGTGGTACATGAAATTTACTCTTGGGGACTAAGTATATGTACATAATACAGCTTGTTTCTCTTTAAAAATTTTCCCCTTCCTGCTCACTTCCCTCTCTCCACCTGTTTTTTATGAATCTTCCTTTCTGTTGGATGGCACTTGCATGGCAGTAGCATTCACCACAGCTGACCATACTTCACAAAGTGTCTTGTGAACATAGTTATAAGTATATTCATACCTACATAAAAGTGTGTTTGTGTACGGATATATGTATGTTTGGTTTATTTCAAAAAAGTGCTCCCTATGTAGTCCTGGAGAGCCTTAAACTTGCTGTGTATCTCAGCCTGGCCTCAAATTTGTGATCCTTCTGCCTCTGCTTCCCTTTGTGCTGGGATTATAGCACATTATGTGCCATTATGCCCAGCTGACTTGACTTATATTTTCAATAGATCTAGAATGCACACTCATTTTTAGTTATGATTTGTCTATAGCATTAATTTCTTACTGAAGGTAAAGGAGAAAACAAATGGGGAGTAGGTGAGTGGGGAGGAGTTCTTAGGTGAGGAGATGCCCTTATAATTGGATGAGAACAAGGACAGTAGAAAAAACTCTGCATTGTGTTAGTGCTCCAGAAAGAAACCCCACAGGAAAATGTTCCTCTAGGTGTCTGACTTCAGAGAAAGTCTCTGAGAATATGTTGGGCATTCATGGTTTCCATTTCTGAACTCATCTATTTTTTTTAAATCTGTTTCTGCTCTAGAGTGTCTAATCATGTCTTTCATTCTGCTCACCATCTCTTTAGTTAGCTGGGAAATAATTTCTGTTTTGAATTTTTCTAGAGCCTCATTCATCTGTTTTGTTACTTCCTGTTCTATCAGTTCAGGGTGTCCTGGTGGCTGATTGTCAGACCTTTTCACCTCATTTCCCCTAGAATTTGCCATTGGTGAGCTGGAAGTCTGTGTTTGTGCCTTGCTTAAGTGTTTTCTCATTTTTATTTTTGTTGTTCTACTGTCCTTGGTTTCATTCCTCAGTTAGTACTTTGATCTTCCTGATATAATTGCTCTTTAGGTTTTGAATCTCTAATGACTCAGAGACACCCTCATTTTCATAATATCAGGAAGGACAACTGATTAAATCAATCACAACCCCTTAGCCCAACTGATACAATCAACAAAACAATAGCTTCAAGCACAGCTTAGAAATTGACCATTTGTGGTAGTTATTAATCTATCACCTTTAGTGGGAAGAGTAGGGGAAAGGAAATAAGGGACAAGAAAAAATATAAGAAAAGGAAAAAAATGGAAACAAAGTCTTTGTAAATAGGGGAGGGTGGAGGGGGTGAAGGGAGGGCAGGGGGAGGGGACAATGATGAATGTAACTGTACTGTATACTTAAAAAGTACCAATATACTCAATAAGATTTTTAAAAATCTATCACCTTTAACCATGTGAATTAAATCAAAACAGAGGACAAGCCCAAAACATGTTTATAGTGAATAAACTCTTCAATATAGCAATTTTACCCTTCAGGGTGGGGACTTAAAAGGAGTTGGGAGAAGAGGAATAGGTAGGTAAAAGAATAGAAGTTTTCAAGTGAAGCCAGAGGACACAGGATGATCACACAAGCTCTACGAAACTGTTGAAGACAAGAGGGAAAGAGAGAGCAAGAACACCGACAAGAATAGAACAACTTAGCATTAATAGGGAAGCTATAAATTATGCTCCCTTTCCTTTGAAACTAATGACACTCGAGTGAAGGAAAAAGAGAGAAGAAAAGAAAAAGAAAGAAGAAACCTGACTTAGGGCAGGAATTGGAACAATAAGGGAGATGAAGAATAACATGAGGGAGCAAGAGACTGACTTGAAAAAAAAATGGAGGAGAAAAGGAAGAATTTTCAGAATGGGAAAAAATTAAATTTTAAAAATTTAAATTTAAAAAAAGAGGAAAAGAAAGAAAAAGCAATTTGAAGAGGCTCTTTCACTGCTGTCACAATAGACAGTGTGGGCAGCAATGTGCAGAACTAAGTCAATTAGTCTCAGCTAGCCAACCGCAGACCCCTGAGATTCAGGCTGAATTCTGGCTGCAAGGCCCAAGTTGAGCTGCCTGACCTCCTGCAGGGTTGAACTCTGCAAGCTTCTATGGCAGGTTCCAGCTGCTCTTCCCCTGATTATAGTCCAAGTTCTGATGAAAGGTGGTGACACCTCCAACTTACCAACTACAGAGGTCTGATGTCCTTTGTTGCAGTTGTTCACTTCTTTTCTATCTTCTGGAACTCAGTAAAATGGCCTTCATGACCGCCTGTGCTTCTGCAGTGTGGACCTAAGTACCGACCAACCAGGAGGCCCCTAGAGCACATTTGGGGGCTGGATGCTGCAGAGGGGCCTGCGGCTGGGTGGTTCTCACCAGTCTGCTCAGATGAAGGCCCAG